AAAAATAATAAAAAGTAATTTTATGAATAGATGTTGGATTTTTCTTAAAGGCTTTTTCTGCAACTATTAAGATGATCATGTAAGTTTTGTCTTTGCTTCTGTTTAAGTGATGAATTACATTTATTGTCTTGTTTGTATTGAACCATCCTTACACTGTTGTGATAAAGCCTAGTTGGGCACAGTATATGAAATTTTTGGTGATTTACTGCATTCTGTTTGCCAGTATCTTGTTTATGATTTTTGTATCTACGTTCATTAAAGAGATTGGCCTGTAGTTCTTTTTCATTTGGGTCCTTGTCTGATTTGGGGATAGGGGTAATGCTAGCTTCCAAGAGTGATTTAGAAGTACTCCTTTTCTTGATTTCATTAAAGAGATCGAGGAGCATGAGGTCTTCTCTGAAGTTATTGTAGAATTTTCAGTGAATCCACTAAGTCCGGGGATTTTCTTAGTAACTTTTTAAAATTGCTACTTCAGTTTCATTGGCTGTTATTGGATTGTTCAGCATTTTTAAGCCTTCTTGGTTTTTTGTGAGGTTTTTCTGGTAATTCCTATGTATCTAGGAATATCTCCATTCCTTTTGAGTTCTCCAGTTTTTGGTATACAAGTTTGTGAATTAGCTGCTAATAATCTCCAGGATTTTGGCATTATTTATTATTCTTTCATCTTTTTCATTTGTAATTACGTTGATTTGTATCTTTTCTTTCCCATTTTTGATAAGAATGGCTAAAGCTTTGTCCATTTTGTTTATTCTTTCAGCACACCAGCTCTTTGATTCATTGATTCTTTTTTTTAAATCCCATTTATTTTTGGTCTGGTTTGTGTCTGAAAATAGGATAATTAACCTTGCTTGTTTTGGGGTTCCTGTTGTATGCAATATTGTTTTCCATTCTTTGATCTTTTAGTCTATGAATTTCTTTTTGGGTTAAATATGTTTCTTACATACTGCATACGATTGGCATTTGGGTATTGTTCCATTCTGATAATCTTTGTCTTTAAGTTGATGAATTGAGACTATTCACATGGTTGTAATTCATAAATACTGACCTATTCCTGTCATTGTGTTATTTTCTAGTTGCTGTTTTCCTTTATTTTCCTTATACTTAATTGTTTACCCTGGCTGCATTGATTGTCTTGGAACTTTTGGTTAGCTTGTCTATTCCTAGTATAGCCTTGAGAATTTTCTGGAATGTTGGTTGGTCTTGAATATTTAGGTACTATTTACATTGAAAATACCTTCTTTTTTCACCAATTTTGAAAGGTAACTTTGCAGGCTATATTGATTTTGGTTGGATGTTATTTTCTTTGAGGACTTGATGTATTTCACTCCAAGTTGTCTTTGCCTTTAAGGTTAGTGCTAAGAATTCTGCTGTAATTCTGATGGATTTTCCTTTATAAGAGAATCATGGGGGCCCAGCCCTAGCTCAGTTCTGGGCTGGTGAGATGGCTCAGTGGTCTAAAGCACCTGCTTGGAACAAGCTTGACAAAGCACAGGGACCGCGGTTCAATTCCCCAGCACCACATGCCAGCCAGCCCCGCCCCCTGGTGGGCTGAGCTGGCCACACACACACACACACACACACACACACACACACACACACACAAAAAATAAATGTAAAAAAAAATTTAAAAAAAAGAGAATCATTGCTATTATCTAAATGCTTTTAAAATTCTGCTCTTGTGTTGCATTTCTGATATGTTGATAATGTTGTGTTCTGCAGTTGTTTTTCTGATTGTGACTATTTAGGGTTCTATATGCCACATATATTTGTATGCTAAATTCTTTTTCTGTATGTATAAATTTTTCTGGAAGTACTTTTGTAAACAGATTTTTAATGCTGTTTGTTGTTTCTTGTTTTTCTATAATTCTCATTACTGTTTCTCTTCTTTGCATCATCTAGAAGTTTTTAGATCCATGTATCATGTTCTCTTTTTGTTTCAAAGGTATCCCTATTTGACTGCTCACCAACCACAGCCCTATAATCTAGATCTGATGCTGTCCCCTCACATTGGTTGCTTCAGCTATCCAAACTTTCAGTCATATTTTTGATCTGGATTTCTGTTTGGAACTTTTTTGTGGACCTCCACACTGTTCTATGCTGATCTTTCATATTTGTATCTCTTCCTTTAGCTCAGCTAGATTTTCCTTAGTGTCTTACTTAGATTTACTGATCATTTGTTTGGTTAGGATAATTATCTTTTTAGTTATATCTTCTTTGAGTCTGTCATAATCTTACTGATCTACTTTTTTATCCTCCACTAGTACCATTTCAGATATTTTTCTTCTTAATGTCTTCCCCTTGATGGCCCTTCGATTGGGTTTGGGATAGTTGGGTGTTCTTGGAGGTATTTTATTACCATGTTTCTTCATGTTTGTATTTTTGTGTTTGTCTGTTTCCTGTACTGGGGTTTGCTGGTTGATTTATAGCGCATACTTTGCTGGAGAGATATATTCTGGGCATAGCTTACTATTAGCACTTGCTTCTATTCCAGGAGCCACCTACCTCCATTAATTTGAGAGAAGGTGTTACAGTTTATTTGACTCTATGTCTGGTTCTTCAGGAATTAGCTGAAGTGTTGTGTATGGCCTCCAGGGTATCTCAGTATTAGCATACTGAGAAAACCAATTGATAGCAACACCTGTCTCACTTTGGTTATCACAGTGAAGTCAACAAATATATAATCAGATATAAATTGGATGCTGAAAAGCCCTAAGAACCACTCATGAACCAGCCTTAGCCAAAGCAGTGAGATCTGTGATGTTAGTTGAGACACTTAGCAACACTATGTGTCAACCTACAGTAAATCAGACCATTGGTATCCACTGGATGTTGGCAGCAATTTGGGAGCACAAGCAGAACACTGGACTTAATACCATTACCTAAAGTCCCATATGCAGGTTTTACCCACCAAACTTGCCCTCCCACCACACAATATAGGTCCTGTGACCTTCCTGCCCTGACTTGAACTTCTCGGGGTACTTAATGGATCTTGGTCTAGCCTTTGCTCTTTCAGTGTCTGTCTCACATGGCTGTCTCTTTCCTGATAACACTTTCAGAACTCCTCCAGGGAAGGGATCACATCCTGAGTCAGGTCAGTCATTTGGCTGTCAACTCTACTATGCTATGCTGAGGAGAACCAAGGTGCAGGGCCCGACAGGAGTTGGTAATTTGACCCTGGTAGCAATAGGGTTCACCAGCAGGTCCTCCTCCATTATGTGTGCTATGAGGTGATGGCAGGGCCTAACCTCTCTGATTGCACACAGCTGGTGAGGGCACGGTGGCGGGTACATGGAACCAGATCTCCTATCTGATAATATCACCTTTTTGCTATCAATCCATGCTGCTGATCTGCTGCATCCTAAAGGCTTTAGAGAAGGAAACTATTCCCAGCTGAGATGAGTTAAAAGCACTTATGGCTGAGAGTATGACTCTGGTAGAGCACTTGCTTAACATGTACAGCAACACACACACACACACACACACACACACAACTGTTCAGTGTTGGGCATTCTGTTGAATGAACAAAAGCAGGGTCTCCTCCCCTGGCTTGGCAGAGAATAGCATGAAAATCTAACACTGAAGAAACCTGCAGGCCAGGAAGCATAGGAGCTGGGGAGTGTGTGAAAGCCCCTCCCTGCTAGGAATGCTCATGGGAGGACATGAGCAACCATCATGGTGTTGGCTGCATCTCTCATCCTGTCTTCTGAGCAGCAGTCACACATTTTCTCAAATAACTCTTCTAACTTCTGCAACCATTAGTTTCTATACAACTATTCAACAGCCACTATAGCATTACAACAGAAAGGAACAATATTAAAAGTAATGGACATGGCAGTGTTGTAATAAAACTTCATTGACAGAAGCACAAAGTAATTAGCTTTTATCCTACCTCAATCCTGAGATTTGACAATCCTTCAGTCCTGTTGGATACCGGGTGTGTTCTTCTCTTATGTCCCTCTTCCTCCTCAGATCATGAGCATGTCTCCCAGGCCTGGGAAGGTCCTAGGCCTTCAATCTTTCTTCTGTCTGTAAGTGTATATTATTGAGTCAAGATGGACTGATGTTAATCTTGCATTTTACTAGTAATGCCGATATATGAAGTAGTTCTGTGAAGAAACACCCTGGTGCTCAGGATTGAGTTCTGCAAAACAGATTAGGCTACTTCTCCATGAATTTGGTGTGACTAAGCCATGTGGTCCCATGGCCTAAATATGTGGGTATTTTGGAAAGGATACACAATTTCTGCAAAAGAACGCAAAAGGGCTACCTACCCCTCCAACATGTCCTTGAGGTGGGTGACTGTGAGTTGTACTATTGTCCCTTCCTGCATACTGCTCGCACCTTTGTGTTTTTCTGGCTTCCCTCCCCAAGGCCACAGTCATGAAATGTGGCAGTGTCTGGCACAGCCAGAAGAATTTGGGCTCTGTGATTGACGACTAATGGGAAACCATTTGAGAAGGAATGGGGCGGGGGTCAGTCATGGTTTTCAACTGAGGCCAGATTAGGAACGGAAACTGTTTCTAAGTCTCCGTTTTGGATTCTAGCTCATATTCCAGGGTTTTTGCAACAGAGAAGGCTTCATTGGCATTTCTGTCTCTTTCTGTTTTTCCCCATGCTTTTCTTGCTCCTCCTTAATTCCTTCTACTCATTTATCCATCCCTTGTCCATTTCTCCCTCAACAAGTCCCCATATCTCCCTTTCTGTTTCTCAATAAATCTATCTCTCTCTCCTTCTATCTCCCATCTCTTTTCATAATTGGTCACTCCATCCCTCTCTCTGTTTCTTCCTCTCTCTTCCATAAATCAGCCCATCCATCATCTACCCATGAGTTTATCCATTCCGCCATCCACCCACATGTCCAGCTTCTGCCACTTGCCAAGCACTATGCTTAGAACATTAGAAGTGGCATACATTATTCCTGACATTATAGGGTTACAGTACTGCTACCATTCCTATTTAATAGGACAGAAAAGTAAGGCTTAGAAATACCACAAAGCCTGCCCTAATATGTGACCCCAATATGTAAAGCCTACTCCGAGGCTGTCAGCGGGCTCTGTCTCCCTGGAATGGCCCTCAGTGCATGGCCATCATGGACAATCTTTCCACCAGTTTTCCCAGCCTCAGATATCACAGAAATTCATGACTATAAAATTCTTTGAGGGTGAGATTAAGTCTTATCTATTGTAGTATTATGGGGTCTCCCACTAGATGCCAGAAACATCGCCTCTCCAGGTTGTGACAAACCAAAACTGTCTCCAGATGTGGTCATATCTCCATGGAGGAAAAACCCTTCCAACTCACCGCTGTTGTTTGCAACACATTGTTGATGACTATATGGATGCTACTTGTCACTTGGCTGCCTCCATTCCCCTCACTTCTGTTTGTGACTGCTACAGAAAGACCTGCAGAGAAAGCACAAGGCCTGGATTCCTAGTTAGTCAGACAGAACCCTGTTAGGAACATTACAACTCCTCTTATGACACTGGTGTCTTCTCACTAGTGTTTATTACTTCCTTTGTGGAAGGCCCTGAGTCCTGTAGGGCACCAGCCATGGGCTGCCTCAAGGCCCAGAAAGCAATGGTTGGCACTGAGTTCAGGCCCAACAGAAACACATCAACTCAATGAATGAGTGAAAGCAAATAGAGTTGAGGAAGTAGAATGGGGTCAGAGTGAGGGTGGATGGAGGTGTCTGGGGGTGAGCACCAGAGAGGGGTTGGGGCACACTGACACTGAACAGGCCTGGCCAAGGGCTCTGCAGTGATGTCACAGACTGGGAATTTGGCACACGCACACAGATGGGTGGCCACGCACATGGGCCATGGCAGCAGAAGGCAGGAAAGGGATGCTGTGCCTGGCCCCCAGCTGTGTACATAGGGCTTGGTCAGGCTGGACGCCCACGTTGAGCTTGGTCCTACATCATCATGTGGTCCTGGTGCTTTTCCCACCCCTGCCCCTAACCATAATTTGTCACTAGGGAAATATCAATGTGGCCCATGACCCCTTAGCTGCAATGCTGAAATTCAAATGTGCTAGAAGTCTATTTTTTGTTGTAGATTTGCTTATAAACTTATTTGTTAACCAAAATCTGGTCTGATGACAGAAGAAATTGTTTGCTTTATTCATCCCTCTTAGTATGATCAATCCATATACTTCCTCAGAAATCACTGTATTTGACAACAGGGCTCTTCTCCTGACCTCCAGGAGGGTTGAACAAGGGCTCACTCTGTGTGTGTGTGTGTGTGTGTGTGTGTGTGTGTGTGTGTGTGTTCCCAGTGTCTCTTTTACATGCCAGGGCTTGGGGTAAAAGGCAGGGCTTGGCTTAGTACCTACCTCTCAAAGGCCCTGGGGAGAGTCCAGGAGACATCGCACATAAGGGGATCAGTACCATACTCCACGTACATCTGGTGCCTAATAAAGATCAGAAGTTTTTGTTCTCTGTTGTTGGTGGAAGCTAACTTGACTAGTCCTAAGTTCTAGGATCTGGATGGACTACTGGTAGTTTTAGTACATGAGCAGGATGGGTCTTTTGCTTGAAGCTACCAGGAGGCTGGTGACCTGAGCACTCACAGTGGCCTCCCCTGTCCTCTTCCCCCAGGAACCACTTTGCACCGCTCTGAGGCAGGACCTGCACCTTCTGTGCCCATAGCCCCTCATGGCCGGCTACAGGGCAGGTCCCAGGTTGTACGGGTGGGCACTGCATGGAAGCAAGTGAACCAGTTCCTCGGAGTTCCCTATGCCTCCCCACCACTGGCAGAGCGCCGCTTCCAGGCACCAGAGCCCTTGAACTGGACAGGCTCTTGGGATGCCACCAAGCCAAGGTAGGCATGAGGGCTGGGCATCTTTGGTGACTCAGTAATAGCACCATAGATTGTGCTTTGTGTAATGCATGAGGCTGTTGCTTACGAGGAGACTACGTGCTGTCACAAGTGCACCCTCCGCACCAGCGCTCTGCACTCTTTTACTCCTGTCAGCTCTCTGCTGGTGGATGCACCTGTGTGCCCTGCACATGTGGTGATTCAGGGGTCCAGACCAGTGAGGCTGCCCTGCCTTCCCCAGGGTGACTCTTCTAAGGTCACCCTGGACATTAATCAGGACAGTACGCCTCTGCAGGGAGGCTTCTGTGGGTCCATCTGGAGACCAGATACATGTCCCTTGCATAGTTCTGTGGTGGCCCCTGCTGACACCTGACTTTAAGGGTGCTGTAAAGAAAGTGCAGCACTGTGGGAAAAGTAAATGAACCAATGAGACATTTTGAAAAGATTTATTTTCCCCCAACTGATAGACTATTACAAGGTTTCTTTTACATTAAGCTCTCATATCCTATCATTTCCTCCATTAAAAATTTTCATTTATTTATTTATTTATTTATTTATTTTTGGTAGAACTGGGGATTGAACTCAGACTCTTGCACTTGCCAGGGAAGTGCTTATTCTACTGAGCCATCTCCCGGGCTCCCCAAATTTTTTGTTTTAAATAGCTAATGTACTGGAGAATGATTTTGTGATGGTTTCTACTTAAAGCTCATTCAGGATGGAGAACCAGTGCCTATGGTTGCCTTGCCTCCCCCTGCCTACCCTCCTCTGGGTATCACAGTCTTATAGATTTTCCCTTGGCAGTGATACCCTCCCTGGCCACTACTGCAGCCAGCTGAAATAATGAGCAGGTTCCCAGGTCCATGACCAGGTGAGGGCTGAGCTAGGCAGCTCTTGAAGTACTCACATGAAAAGGGGTGGGGGCCTAAACAGTGACAGTGACAATTGAGACACAGACAGGCCTGGATTGAAGTCTGTCCCACCATTGGGAAATAAGAACAAGCACAAACTAGAACAACTTACCACGTTGGCCATACTTGGTGACCAGATGAGATAGTGTGGTCCTGTGGGTCTGGAGTGGAAGTGGCTGGAGGTCTTGGGTCACTGTAGCCCAGGGATAGCACAAGGTGGTCAGTGCTGAGTTAGCCTTTTGGGCAGATGACCCTGATGCTGCAGTTAGGCAGGGACTCTGATGTGGTCTCCACTCATACCATGGATCATCAGACTGCCCAGGAGGTGCTGATTCTGTGCCCAGTGCTGTGTGCTGCTTAGAAGGCAAGGCAGACCTCCCTTCCAGCAGTCTGCAAATGTTCTGACCGCACTCCAAGGCCCTGGTAGTATCCATTGTCCCCTTCTCTATCTCAGCACACTGGCGTCAAGGCAGCATGTGGTCCCTGAGAGATGCTCCTCCATGGGCTGGTGGCCAGGAACAGGTCCAGCTGTTCTGTGCCCTCTGTTCACTGGCCTCTCCCAGATCCTAAGGGAATTGTTGCAAGGTGGTGGGAAGCCAGGCCTTGGAGTGGAGCTGTGGGCTTTGCCGTGGAGGTGTATGGGAGGGAGAGGGGCTGTGTCTCTGGGTTATTTCTGCTGCAGCTCAGCCAGTCTGTCCCCTGCAGGGCCAGCTGCTGGCTGCCAGGCATCCGCACACCTACACCCGCTGGAGTCAGTGAAGACTGCTTGTATCTCAATGTGTTTGTGCCGGAGAACCTGGTGAGTCCCCCAGCCCTGCTGTGTTTGCCTCAAAAGAACTCGTATTAGAGATTCTCCGTCCACATGGCTGGCCTCTGCTTGGCCTGTGTTATGCAAGTGCTGTTCCCCATGTCTCTGGGCTTCCCGGAGGTCTAGGGGCTGAAAGAAAGCAGAATAGCCTGGGCTTCCTGGGTGCACAGGGCTGGTGTGCAAGGAGGCTCCGTGGGTGCTGGACTTGGACTTTGAAATTTGTTTGCCCTGTTTTGAAGCCTGTATCTGCTTAAGAAGCTACAACTAGCCTGCTCTTGAAAGGCTGAGTTCCTTGTTTATGCAGAAGGCACAACACTCATGAGAGAAAAAGGGATGGGTGAGCCTGAGGGAGCCTGACTTTCTGGCAGTGCTGGCCCAGCGTCAAGCAGCCACGCTGCTGCTTGCACTCCCCTCGTTTCCTAGCGGTGACAGTAAGCTGAGTTGGGAGAGTGAGCTTCGTAATAAGCTGCCAAAAATGCACCAGCTCAAGGGCTGGCCAGATAGCTCAGCAGGCTAAAGCGCCTGCTTAGGCAGACGCCTCCAGGGTGCGCTGAGCCAGCTACTGAGAATAGGCGTCGTGGTGTGCGCCAGTAATCCCAGCACTTGGGAGGCTGAAAACAGGAGGATCACTACAAGTCTGATGTATAAAGTGAGACACTGTAGGCCCTGTAGACCCTGTTCTAAACACATTAAAAATATATATATATATATACCAGCTCATTGGCTACTCTAATAGACGTATGGAACCTTGATTGAGGAAGGTGATAGGGCACCCTTCTGCCCAGTGCTGCAATTCACCATAAACCTGCAATGTTGAATTAAGTCCAAGTCAGGCCTGCCACCTACTGCTCCTTCATTGTCCTGGAGGTGGTGACTCAAATTCGTGTGTCCCAGCTACTTTGTCTGAAAGTGGAAAGAGAAATAGCATCTGGCCAGAGTGGAACTTTGGCTCCTGGGTCTTGACTCCAAATCTGGTGTTCCTTCCCTTAGGGAAATTCCTAGGCATGGGAGCTTTGCCTTTCTGTCTTGAGTGGCTCGTAGGGCCCCAGCTTAGCCTTGGGGAGGAGCACAGGCCACAGCAAGGGTCGGCAGCGCCTGGGGATAGTGACAGGCCAAGTGGGGGAGCACTGGTATCCTGATACTTGCTTTTCTCATGGGGTCAGAGGCTCAGTCTGGTCTCTCTGTGCCTTGTCTCTGTGATATCCTCAATGGTAGACAATGGTCCAGCATCCTTCTCTGATGCTGGTACGATGCTATGCAGTAAAATCACTGAGGTTATTTGGGAGGTGTTGAACTTGTCCCTGACCTGTCCAAAGACCCCAGATAATGAAACCAAACCTCCCAAATTGGCCTTTCCTGTGGCCTTCATAAGGTCTTGTCTTTGAAGAATCCATGGCCTTGCCCACTGGGGACATTTGAACTGGAGGATCACCCAGGAATGTGCTAGGGAGAACGTGAGGCATTTTCCCTAGGTCAGGGCTGGGTCCTCAATTAACCCTTTCACTCCAGATGTCTTTAGCTGGTTTCCCCAGCACTCTGAGTTTTTGTTTCCATGTGTAAAATGAGAGCACTTAGAGCCCTTGTGGCAGCTGCCTCATGTATGGAAGAGCTGATGGAATTCATAGTCTCCATGGAGGGAAGGACAAGCCAAGGTCAGCTGCGGCAAAAAGTCTGGGTGGAAGCGTGTGTGTGCCACACCCATTATAACTTAAGTAGAGAAGTCACCTCTCACATAGACAGGATCCTGCATGGCACAGCAGTCAGCAGTGCTGCACAAATACACGCCATGGCTTGGTGTGGGCATCGGATCCCTCAGATGCCACTTAATGTTCCAATGCAGAATGCTTGGCTTATTTCAAAGCCCAGCCTTGTACTTCTTGGATGTGTGATCTCTGATGAGCTGTGTACCAGCCCTAAGCTTCTGCATTCTCATCTGTGAAAGGTGATGATAAAAATTAACATGCTATCTGCAGAGAGGATCAAATGAGTGACACATGTGAACAGAACAGCACCAACCATTAGTGGCTGCTGCCTCTGAAGCCAGCTATGGGCTCCTAAGATGGGAATGGGGCACACAGCCATGTCTCTGAGGACACCGAGTAATCCTTTGCAATACAAGAAGGCCAGGCCTGGGTGCTGGTGTGGCGCCACATGTACTGCGGGGAGCACAGGGGGCCTTGCTTCCTGCAAACCCTTCTCTGTGCACTGGGGCTCAGCAGTTTATGAGAACTGCAGCCTGGGTGTCTTACCCACAGATTTATTGCCTGCACTTCTGGAGGCTGGAACTGCAAGGTCAGGGTGCCGCAGGGCTGGCTGTCTCTGAGGCCTCTCTGCTTGGCTTGCAGGCTTGCAGATGGCTTTCTTCTCCTGGGGTCTTCTCCAGGCCTTCCCTCTGTGTGTCTGGGCCTAAACTCCTTCTTCTTATAAGGACACCAGCCAAAGAGGGTTGGATGCCACATACAAGCACTTTTTGTGCTAGTTGCCTCTACGTGTCTGTCTCTAAGTACAGCCACATTCTGAGCTGCCTGGAGTTGGAGTTCCGATGCATGAAGGGGTGGGGGACAAAATTCAGGCCACAATATGGGCTGAGTGCCCTCCAGACAGTGCTAGCAACAGAAGCTGTGTTGGTGCGCAGCGTGGGCCTCCCAGAACTGCTGCTGTGAAGGCAGGCCGCTCTCAACACACCCCCTGCTCTCATCCCCGCAGGCTCCCAACGCGTCAGTGCTGGTGTTCTTCCACAACACCATGGAGGATGACGTCAGCGAAGCCTGGCTGAGGATCGATGGCTCCCTCCTGGCTGCCGTAGGCAACCTCATTGTGGTCACTGCCAACTATCGAGCGGGTGTTTTTGGCTTCCTGAGTTCTGGTGAGTTGTTGGCATCACTGGATGTGTTGGCTGGCTTTCTGTTACTATACCAAAAGACATGAGATTATTATTTTTTTATTTTAAAGGGGAAAAATGAAAATAAAACAGAATTTCAAAACCGGTTGATAGGAGAGTTACAATAATTAATACATTGCATATTGTCTTTTTAGTAGCTATTCAGACTGCAAGATGCAGGCATGAATTTGTGTCCAAACTATATTAGCACAAATATTTCTTTTCAGTGAACAAAGAGAAACTAAGTGTATAACTATCTTACCTATCTTGTGTATAAATATATATATTTTTTTCTTTTTCCCTTCTTCTGTTTCCTCTTTCCCCATCACAGTTTGCCTTTTCTTTAGAACAGTTTCTTCACAATTCTCAGTATCTGTTTTACATTTGGTTCTTAATTACTCATTCAGTTTCTCACACTAGTGAGACAATACGATGTTTACGCATATGGGTCTGATTTATGGTCTTGAGTTATAAAGAGGGAAACTTTGTTTGAGCTCATGATTTTGGAGGTTCTGGTACGTGATTGGTTGGGCCCATGGCCAAGCAGCCAATCACTGTAGCAATAAGTAGCAGATCACGATGCTCACCTCATGACCAGGAAGTGAAAGAGAAGAGGAGGGACCCTCAGTGCCACAGTTCCCTTCAAGGGCTGTCCTCCACTGATTTAGGGGCCCTGTAGAGCCTCTACCTCTTGATAGTACAGCCTGGGACAAAGCCTTTACACTTGAGCCTCCAGGGAGCCTTCCGCAGCAGCTATAGCCTTGGGGCTCCTGACTGCCCAGCTAAGGCTCCCTGCTTGCATGACCCATTTCTTCTCAAAGCCTCAGACTTGCTGCTTGGCTTCTCCTACAGCTTGCTTGATGCACAGTAGAAATTCTAGCATGTTTACAGCCCTATGCACTAATGCTGTGCCCATAGATGTGAGTAGTAGTGAGTGAGTTGCACTTATTGAGAATTCACTGTGTGTTAAACTGGCCCAGGCACACACTGACATAGTGTGTGTGTGTGTGTGTGTGTGTGTGTGTGTGTGTGTTTAGGAGAGAAAATTAAGGCTCAAGGAGGGACACTAGGTTACACTATGTTATCAGAGCCAGACTTCACCCAGACCTGTCTGTCCCTGGGCAAGGCTCAGGCATGGACAACAACCCTTCTCAACAGGGAAGCTTTGGGACATGGGGTGAGGGATGTGTGAACAGTGACTCCTACCTCCCTTGAATTTTGCTTCCCTAAAACTGTTCATTACCCTGGCTTGCTTTGCATACTCCAACATAAACACCTTCCATCCACACACATCTACCTCTGCCACCACCTGTGACTAAGGAGTCAGTGGGAATGGGAAGGGGGGTGGATGTGTTGCTTGGAATCCAAAGAGCCAAAGGCCAGCTCTACCAGCCACCAGCCATGTGGCCCTACACCAGACCACTCCCAGCATTTGTTTTCCCTTCTGTAGTATGGGAGTCATTTTGCCTGACTCCAGAGTTGCTGGGAGTCTCAAGTGAGAGGATACATGTGAGAGGGATTTTGAGATAGTGGAAGTGTCGCCCAGTCCTCAAGGACAGGCTGAGCTTCCACTGTATTTCTCAGGGCTTGCATTCAGAACTAGGATGTCTTAATGAGCTCAGCATAGACAGATGGGTGGGAGGTAGAAAGACCAGGCTGGAGGGCTTGGTTGTACCTCGATGCCCTTCTGCCAGCATGCGCAGAAGCCAGGGGTGCCAAGGATGGATGTCTGAGTAGATCAGTGGCACACGACATTGACGGCCACAAAGAAAATAAAAGGGTTTGAGGATGTGAAGCAGGCAGCAGGCTAAGGCAGAGCCAGGCCGATGCCTGTGCGGGAGACAGGATGAAGAGCAGACTGCGTTTTCCTGGGGAGCAGGCAGCTGGGCGTCGGTGGCTGCATGTGGCTCTTGTGTCTTGGCTTTCCATTTTCTGCCTGACGCTGCATGGTGATGAGAAACAAATATGGTGACTGAGGCTTTCAGTAAGCTTTGGGGGTGTAAGAATTCTTCACATGAGGATTTATTTTCTTTAAAGAGGACCCCTCCTCCGAGCTGGGCTTTCTGTCCTCACTGCATATGCAAGTCTGATGAGGGTATGTAGGCCAGCAGGCGATGTCCAGAGCCCTGGGAGTTGCAGTTGGTCTCAGGAAATTTTTCCCTAGACATGGCTGACTTTGGCTTAGAACATTTCCAGACAGAAGAGAGTGAATTTCCATATGTCATCTGTCCCTGAGGGATACCAGGAAGTGACTTTCAGGACTGCAGTCTTGGTACGAATTCCTATGCTTCTGGACTGGCAGACTTGTTTTGGCTGCCGGTATGGGAAGTCTGTGGTAGCAATGGAAGCCTCCAGAACTCCCAGCTCCTCTCAATCCCGACTTGTCTTTACCGTGCCTGCTCCTGTTGCTCTAAGGAAAAGCTATCAGCAAGAGAGAGGGAAAAGTAGGGCCCCAGAGTACTTCTCTTTGCCAGGTGTTTTGCTGCTTCTCATGGAAGCTTTGTGAGGCAGAACCATATGCCAGGTCACAGAGGAAACCATAAGGCTCAGAGAGAGGGGAAGGGGCTTTATCAGCTCAGTCAGAGGAGCTGGTGCCAGAGGTGTACTACTCTCTTCCAGTCACACCCGGGTGACGAGGAACATGCCTTGTTCTTGCACTGTAGCCTCTGCGTGTAGTCTGGACGCACCCTCTGGATTCTGTTGCCTTTGGCTCTGTCTTTTGCCTTCGTTTAGCCATAGCCCCCTGGCTTTGCTTGTTCACTAGACCTCCTAGCACTTCTCCTGTCCTGAGTCTTTGGGTGTCTGACAGCCTGCCACCCTGCCCTTCTGCATGGAAAGGAAACAAAGACATCAGTGTTCCTCAGGCCAGCTGGAGAACCAAGGCATGGATACATGGCAGTGTAGGCCCCGGCACTGGGGCACACAGAGACCTCTGTCACAGATGGCCTCTGCCTGTCACAGACAGGTGTGGGCACAGCTCTGGATGTGGACAGGCAGTGTGCTGCTTGCAGGGCAGCCTCCACATGGAAGGAGCAAACAGCAGGCCTTGCAGCTCTCTTAACTTCCCCAAGAAAACCGAGATGTAGGCGAAACTTGCCTTTCCATTGAAAATAACCACAGGTTTTATGATTTAGGGCAATTTTGAAAGAGTACAGAGAAACTGAACATGAGTCTTTCTGTGTCTCTTTCTCCCTGCTCCCTGTTTCCCCCATTACTAGCGCCTTTTTATGGCACACGCATGGTAAGTGATGAGCCCTAATGATGCGTGATTGCTCACTAAAGTGCAAGGTTCATGCCTGGGCTCACCTAAGGTTGCACATTCTCTGGGTTTTGCCAAATGTGTGATGCTATGTATCCACTATTGCAGCCTCTTCTAGAATAGCTTTAGTAGCCTACAGCTCCCTGTGCTCTGGTATTCATTTCACCCCTTTTTGTTATAAGTCATTGAATCTACAGTTGAGAACACAGGTCTGGAAAGCTGCTGGGCCACGTGGGGTTCCAGCCTCGGCTGGGGCTGGCAGAGAATGCAAGCTTTGCCCCTGCATGGGGCGGCGTCCCAGAGTGGCTCTATGGGGCCAGCGCTCTATGGCCTTCCCTCTGTGACCCATGGCAGCCTGCTATCCATGAGTGCAAGATGCAAGGGCTTGTCCGTGTTTTCCCTGACTCAGGTGCTCCAAAAGACCAACCTTGGGCCTCGCCTGGCTCTTCTAGTCTGATGTGTGTTACTCTCCCTCTCAGTCCCTACAGAGACAGGTACTCTTCCCAGGGAGGGCTGGACTTTGGTCATTTTCAGCCCAGCATCTGGCTGTGGCCAGCATAGAGCCACTGCCCTACTCAGTAGCAGCTCCTGGCACTCCCTGAGGCAGGCAGGCAGGCAGTGTTACTGCCAAACCACCTGAAAATATTCAGTGTCCCAGAGCAAAAGTGGTCCCTGGGAGCCCTGCATACCAAAAGGGATGCATTTGGGGAGACACAGATGGAAGATGAAAAGCAAAGGAGCTGCCAGTGTGGAGACCAGCGAGATCAACTTGCGCCGTCTGCAGAAGACAGATGAGGCAAAGCCAAATGAGGAAGGGGACTTGGTTCCTATGGAGATGAGTAGTCAGAGAGGAGGCAGGGACTGGAGCAGGGCTGGAGGAGGCAGGGCTGTCTGGGCCCCAGGCAACTGCGAGGGGATCAGTCCAAAGTGGTGAGTGGGTGTAGGGCGAGAGGAGGAGAGGGGTGTAACAGGGCGCCAGGCTCTGCAGGATGTGGGCCCGAGGAAGTGTGCTTTGGCTAGGGAGTCAGACAGAAGGCCAGGCCGCCCCCAGTAGCCACACACCGCTATGACCTCACTGTGGCTGGGCTTGCAGGGCCTCCTGAAGGGTCTGTTGTCCTCTCTAAATTAGAAAAACAAGCAGAGTCTGGCCCAGAAGGTGCCCCTCACAGAAGCTCTTTCTGCTACTGCACGTGAGACAGGCTTTGCTAAGGGCATTGGGGATATATGGGCTGGGAAGATAGCTGCGTGGTCTAGCCTGGCCAGTACAAGGTCCCGAGTTCAATTCCTGGTACCCCGTGCTGTGCCACTGAAAGAGGGCATGGCGGTGCACGCCTGTAATCCCAGAGCTGGGGAGGCTGCAGAGAAGGATCAAAGGAGTCCACGCTGTATAACGAGGCCCTGTACCAAATATATATATATATATATATATATATATATATATATATATATAAACTTAGGGTAATACTAGGGCCTCAACTCTTTCCCTTTAAATCTGCTGTAATGCCTCGTGCCAGTCACAGTTCCGTTGACTTTACAAATATTAATTAATTTAATCACCAGAGCACCCAAAGGGGAAGTGTTCCTGTCATAACATTTCATAGATAAAGGCTTAGCACGTAGGTGGCAAGGGGCTTGCCCCAAGCTCTGTATCTAATAGGCACTGAAGCCAAGAGTCATTAGCCCTATACCCACAGCCTCTGTGTGATGCCCATTGGCAAGACTGAGTCCTTGTAAGGGGCATTTGTGGATTGATAAAAATGTGCCAATCAGGCAATGAGGGCACAAAGGTCTGCTGGCCGGGTGGTTCCTCCTGGGCCAGTAGGAACCTGGAGGTGCAGGGCAGGCAGGGCAGTGGAGACCAGGGCTGGGGATAGCACGGATAACACAATGTCCAAGAAACCCCTGTTAACAATGTTTTCCTAATTGGCCACAACCCAGTTTCGCCTCTCTGGTCCTGACTCTGTAGGGCTAGGACATTTCCACAGGAGCATAATGTATGTTTTGTGTGTGTGTGTGTGTGTGTGTGTGTGTGTGTGTGTGTGTGTGTGTGAGACAACTGAGTGAGCTAGGCCTGGACCAGAGCCCTAAGGAGAAGACAAGGAGACCAAGGCTCAGCCACCCACCCAGACTCAGGGATTAGTGTGCCCAGGGAGTGGCCCCGAGCTGTGTTGGGAGCCAGAAAGAAGGCTTGGAGGGCTGCAGGCTGTCCTGGAAGGTCCGAGGAGCCAGGAGGAACTCAGCCCTGGTGTAGTAGCAATAAGGCAGTCACCAAAGGTATGTGAGCAGACACTGCCAGTTCCATAAATAGGGAACTTATTTTTTATGGCTATCGTATGCTTGTCTAATTACCCTGGATGTAAGGACAAATACCTTTGACTGTGACTGAGGATTTGGGTTCCAGCTTGATCCTACATACACTTCTCACATCTAAATACAATCTTTCATCACAAGCTCCTGTTTCTTCCCCAGTAAAGGACAGGGCTGGGAGCACAGGCTTCAAGCCACTACTGTTCATTACCTGCCTCCCAAATGCATCCAGGCTCTGTGCCCTGGGGCTGGGATCCTGACTCTTGGCTCTCAGCAGTGCTTGACTCCAGAGGAAGCCCCCCCCCATTGTTGTTGGACAGCTGTCTTCTGGAACAAGCCCTCTTTCCTCGTGGGGGGCCGTGGATCTCAGAATGTCATCAGCACTCTTTTGTAATGTAGTGGGAAGTTGACCTATGGGAAATGAGCATCAGGGATGTTCCCCACTTGCCGAGGTTACTGGCAGTGCCAGCCACGAGTGTCCTTTTCCAGATCTGCAGAAGTTGGTCATACTCAGTTGGCATCCTGCTCTCCTGTGCTCCCTGAGACCTTGGAAGAAGAGGATATTTTCATTCTGACAAATGGAACACAGAGGCAATCCAGAAAAACTCCTGGTGAAGATCATTTCAAGACAATGGCTTTACCAGATTCAGAACAAGAAAACCATTTGAAGAAATATAGAATGTTTGTCTAGCTGGAAAAGTAATTGTTAGGAACTCTAAGCTGGCGTTCCCTTCAGCTTTGTGGATACTGGGTTGGGCAATTACCTCATGAGATTGTCCTATCTTCTTCTTTTATTTAAGAATATGGCGTTTTGTCAGTAGTTTCATGCCCAATGCTGAGTCGTACCATCGTAACTGGCAGGGGGTGGGGTGTGCTGGTGGTGATCTTTGTGGGGGCTGGATCGTAGGGAGTGCGCATAGGGTGGTGACAGCCAAGAGTCACCGCATGCAGTGCTGGTGGGAGCCACAGGATCTAAAGAGGTCTCTGAGGGCAGAGTCTGAAAAGAAGGTGTGCACCTCAGATGGATCATAGCGGGCCTGGGTTCCAAAGTTTGATAGAGAAGAACCAGTTCATGGAGAAGATCAACCAGGGTGCACTGAATTCACAGGAGTGTCCCAGAGGGCCAAGGAGACATGCATGTCTACACCATATTTGCATCATTTCTTTTTTTGGGGGGGATGAGCTCAACTGGTCTTACTTTCCAGTGCACCAGGACCACATACAGTCACTGTATTTCTTTGATCCGAAGCTTATTTCAATCCTTCTCACCTAAGTCCAATAAAAATAACAGAAATCCATTAAGTGATGGCTGTAAGCAGCTCTGTGTGTTAAATTCTTATTTCCCAAAACTCCCCATGGGGTAGGTGCTGTTCTCATCCCTACTTTAAGTACTCTAGATGTTGGTTCTCTGTCTGAGAAATAGCTTGCAAAACCTTCTCACTTTGTAGGTTGGCTTTTCACTCTGGTGACTGCCTTCTTTAATGTGCAACTTTTAAGTTTGGCATGTTCTCATTTGGTGACTCTTAGGGTTACTTCTTGTGCCACTGGAGTTCTCTGATCTGAAAGTCCTTGCCTACACCCGTGTCTTCAGGAGTTTTACCTGTTTTATGATTTGTAGCAAAGTGTTTCTTTTTTAACATTTATATGTTTGATTCATTTTTCATTTTATTTAATTTAGGGGTATATGAGTCTAGACATCTAGAATATAAAGAAATTTTTTTTTTAATGTAGACATGCCCAAGATAAAAGAGCCAATCAAAACATGGACAAGTGAAATGGATAGATACTTCTCAAAAGAGTAAAATAGCCAATCAATGCACATAAAAGTTTCAGCATCCCTGGCCATAAGAGAAAAGCAAATTAAAACTACATTGAGATACTTACCTTACCCCATAAAGAATTACAGTCTTAAAAAACAAAACTGAAACTAACAAATGTTGGTGAGGATGTGAGGAAAAAGGAACTCTTCTGCATTATTACTGAGATTGCAAACTAGTACAAATGCTAGAGATACCAGTGAGGAGATTTTGCAAAAATAATAATAATAATGACAGAAATTCCATTTGACCTAGCTAGTCCCCTTCTAGGTATCTTCTTCAAGAGTTAAAGTCATCCTACTAAGATGCTATATGCATAGCCGTGTCTACAGCAGTACAGTTTGAAATAGGTAGATCTTGGAAACTGTGTGTGTCCATCAACAGATGGATGGATGAAGAAAATGTGGTATTTACACACAATGGAGCAGTGCTCTGCCATATAGAAGGCACACGTGAGGTGTTTGTAGGCAAATGCGCATAACGTGAGAACAGAATGCTACATAAAACAAGTCAAACACAAAAGCCTAAATATCGCATGGTTTCTCTGATGTGGGAACTCCAAACACGTACATATACTGTATAAAAAGCAAAATAGTAGAACAGTAGGAAGAAATTTAAATAATTCTCCAAATT